CCAACAATCCCTCCTTCAAACAAGGCTCACGAGGTATATCACCACTCATCGAGATAATCCATCGTAGCCTACACCCATTACGTTACCATGAATATACTACCGACTTTAAGGAAATTTCCAGAATTTTGTGGCTGTTTCATCTGGTATTTTAATTTGGTTATTGCTTCTGGAATCATCCATAAGTGGTGCCAAGAAGGAGAAAGTTCTAGACAAGCTGGTATATTATTTCTACCAGCAATTGCAAGAATAATCTAGAATTATCAAGACCATCTTCACCACCATGCTAGAAGCTTCAACCACCGACCATTTTTGCTTATATATATGTGTGTTTGCTGTATGTATTGTGTGTGTAAAGTAGTGTGAGAGAAAGTGCAGGGAAAGAGAGAATAGTGCTAGTAATATAATATTAGAGAGGTTTACTAGTGGGGAGTGTCATCAATTTGTGTAAAATCTATTTCTTCTAAAATAAAATTCTATTTTCATTTTGGGTTTTAAACTCAACAATTTGGTATCAGAGCGAGGCGATCGGAGATGAATTTTTGGGCTTCTTGAGTTCGTGCACAAAAGGAGATTGTGAAGCTTTATTAAAGCTTGCTTGATTACGAGGAGGTAAATCGAGTCACGATGAGCGACCTACAAGCAATAGGCGGAGTAAAAAAGCTCAATAATCAGAACTACACCACATGGCAAACTTGCATGGAGTCGTATCTCCAAGGGCAAGACCTGTGGGAAGTTGTTGGTGGAAGTGACGTGATGCCACCAGAGGAGGCCGAAGCTCTGAAGAAATGGAGAATCAAAGCGGGTAAGGCCATGTTCGTTATAAAGACAACAATTGAGGAAGAATTGTTGGAACATATAAGAGATAAGTCTACACCAAAGGAAGCATGGGACACTCTAGCCACTCTATTTTCAAAGAAAAATAACTTGAGGTTGCAATTGCTGGAAAATGAGCTGCTCTCGATCACTCAAGGAGAACAAACGGTGAGTCAATATTTTAATAAAATTAAATCTCTTTGTCGCGAAATTTCAGAATTAGATTCTTCAAGCAAGATTTCAGAGTCTAGAATGAGAAGAATAATTATACATGATTTGAGACCCGAATTTAGAGGGTTTATTGCTGCCATCCAAGGTTGGCCTGAGCAGCCTTCATTGGTAAATTTTGAAAATTTGTTGGCCGATCAAGAAGCGTTAACTAAACAAATGTTAGGGGTTTCAATAAAGAAAGAAGATGAAGAAGCACTATATAGTTATAAAAGAAGAGGTCGACTCCGTCAACAAAATAAGGAATTAAAAGAAAATGGAGAAGGTTCCGTGGCAAGGGGAGCCAAACAAAGTCACGACAAGAGAGGTCAGCCGTTTAAGGGATTTCAACGAACTAATGGCTCGTGTTTTGTATGTGGCAAACGAGGCCATTATGCTAGAGACTGTCGATTCAGGAAAAAGCCAGCAGAAAGCAATCTGGTAACCTCTAATGAGCAAGAAAAATATAATAGTGAAGAAGAATGGGATGCTGTAGCATCGCTTGCACTAATGGAGGATACTCAAGGGAAGGAATGCAGTACAGATCCTGAAGAAGAATCAGCACTAGTGGCGATGCTCCCTGGGCGAATAGATTATGAAAGTGATTGGATCGTCGACTCTGGATGTTCCAACCATATGACAGGTGATAAAGAGAAGTTGCAAAATACAACGGAGTACATGGGAGGCCGAATGGTGGTAACTGCCAATAATTCAAGATTACCAATAGCCCACATTGGTAAGACAGTTATCACGCCTCGGTTTAGTCCTAGTCAGGTGCAGCTACAAGACGTCTATCACGTCCCAGGAATGAAGAAAAATCTTCTATCAGTGGCACAACTAACATCATCAGGTAACTACGTTCTATTTGGGCCAAAAGATGTCAAGGTGTATCAAAATATAAAAACTTTGGGTACACCAATAATGGAAGGACGAAAATTAGAGTCCATCTATGTAATGTCAACAGAGTCTGCATACGTAGAAAAGACTCAAAAGAATGAAACAGCAGATTTATAGCATTCAAGACTAGGACATGTGAGTTATCACAAGTTGAAAGTGATGATGAAGAAGTCGATGCTCAAAGGTCTTCCTCAACTCGAGATCAGAGATGACATGGTATGTGCTGGCTGTCAATATGGTGAAGCACATCAGCTACCATATCAGGAGTCAAGTTATAGAGCAAAGCAACCATTGGAGATGGTACACTCTGATATGTTTGGATCTGTCAAGCAACCATCAAATAGAGGGATGCGCTACATGGTAACATTCATCGATGACTTCTCAAGGTACGTTTGGATTTTCTTTATGAAAGAAAAATCTGAGACATTTATAAAATTTAAGGAGTTTAAAGAAAAAGTAGAAGGAGAAGTCAAAAATAAGATTCAGTGCCTACGCACGGATAATGGGGGAGAATATACATCAAGAGAATTCTCCCAGTATTTAAGAGAACATAAAATACATCATCAATTGACATGTCCAAACACGCCACAACAAAATGGTGTAGCAGAAAGAAAGAATCGACACCTTGCAGAAACGTGTCGAAGTATGCTACAAGCAAAGATTGTTCCAGGAAGGTTTTGGGCAGAATGCATGAGAACAGCGGCACATGTGATCAACAGGCTACCACAACCGAAGCTGGGGTTCACGTCACCATTTGAGAAATTGTGGAAAAAGAAGCCACCAGTAAGTCACTTTCGTGTATTTGGTTGCGTTTGTTATGTGTTTGTGCCTGATCACTTGAGAAGAAAGTTTGATAAAAAGGCAATCAGATGCATATTTGTGGGGTATGACAGTCAAAGAAAAGGATGGAGATGATGTGATCCTACAACCGATCGTTGTTATACATCAAGAAACGTGGTGTTTGGCGAATCATCTTCATGGTGGACACCGCAGAGGGTGGAGCTACCAGATTCAAAGGAATTAGACGACAAATTGCAAGAGGAGATCACAGAAGGGCAACCAAGTCTTGAGAAAACAAAAGATGGACAAGATTCAAGTGATGAGAAGGAGCCTACTGACGTGCTACAAAATCCTTGGCAGAGAGGTGTGCATCAGATAACACCAGAAGAAATAAGGCCAAGTCAACAAGAGGCGGTTGAGGTAAGAACAAGCCCACAACCACAGTTAAGAAAATCAACCAGACAGAGGAAACCAAACCCCAAATATGCTAATGCAGCAGTAGAAGAAGATGACAATATCAAAGAGCTAGAGACCTTTGAAGAAGCAATCCAGCACAATGAGTTGAGAAATGCAATGAAAGAAGAATTCTGATGTGAAAAATGCGTTTCTCCATGAAGAACTTGATCGAGACATATACATGGAGCAACCAAAGGGATTTGAGAATAGAGAAAAGCCAAGATATGTTTGCAAGCCAAAGAAGGCTCTATATGGATTAAAGCAGGCACCACGAGCGTGGTATGGTAAAATAGCCGAATTCTTAGTTCAAAGTGGATACTTGGTAGCACCGGCAGACTCAACCTTATTCATCAAAGCACAAAGTGAAAAATTAACAATAGTGCTAGTGTACGTGGATGATCTCATCATCACTGGAGACGACGTTCAAAGCACAAAGTGAAAAATTAACACTAGTGCTAGTGTACGTGGATGATTTCATCATCACTGGAGACGACGGAAATGAGGTCCAACAAATCAGAAGAAATCTATCAGTAAGATTTCAAATGAAAGAGCTTGGAGAGCTAAAACATTTTCTGGGGCTAGAGATGGAAAGAACAAAAGAAGGGTTATTCTTATGCCCGAATAAATATGCCAAAGATCTTTTACAGAAGTTTGGCATGATCGATTGCAAACCAATATAGACACCAATCGAGATTAACTCCAAGCTATGTGCAGATGAAGGGAATGATTTGGATAATGCAACCATGTATCGACAGCTGGTGGGGAGCTTAATATATTTGACGCTGATACGACCTGACATCGCATATGCAGTTGGGATAGCAAGCCGCTTTATGGAAAAGCCAAAGAAGCCACACCTTAAAGTAGTGCGCCGAATCTTAAGGTATGTAAAATGAACTATTGATTATGGACTCTTTTACAAGAAAAATAAAGATTGCAGGATCATTGGCTTTTGTGATGCGGACTATGCTGGATGTCGAGATACACGAAGATCAACAACTGGGTACGTGTTCAGTCTGGGGTTAGCTGCAGTTTCATGGTGTAGTAAGAGACAACCAACTGTATCTTTGTCAACCGCAGAGGCAGAATATAGAGCAGCTGCAATGGCAGCCCAAGAGAACACGTGACTAACACAATTAATGAAGGATTTACATCAACCAGTAAGCTATACACAATTATATTGTGATAATCAATCAGCTATTCGTATAGCAGAAAATCCAGTTTGCCATGCAAGAACAAAACATGTTGAAGTGCATTATCACTTCGTAAGAGGAAAGGTGCTTAAAGGGGAGATCGACTTGAAGCATATCAATACTGAAGAACAAGTCGCAGATGTTTTAACGAAAGGACTCAGCGCCTCAAAATTTGAAGAGTTTCGAGCACAACTAGGGATTATAAAAATAAATGAGTCAAAATGAAAAGTCGATGCTGAAGGGGAGAATTGAAGATCATCACCGACTTTAAGGAAATTTCCAGAATTTTGTGGCTATTTCATCTGGTATTTTAATTTGGTTATTGCTTTTGGAATCATCCATAAGTGGTGCCAAGAAGGAGAAAGTTCTAGACAAGCTGGTATATTATTTCTACCAGCAATTGCAAGAATAATCTAGAATTATCAAGACCATCTTCACCGCCATGCTAGAAGCTTCAACCACCGACCATTTTTGCTTATATATATGTGTGTTTGCTGTATGTATTGTGTGTGTAAGTAGTGTGAGAGAAAGTACACGGAAAGAGAGAATAGTGCTAGTAATATAATATTTGAGAGGTGTACTAGTGGGGAGTGTCATCAATTTGTGTAAATCTATTTCTTCTAAAATAAAATTCTATTTTCATTTTGGGTTTTAAACTCAACAATTTACTGGCCTAGGCTTCCCATCTGACATGAAGGAACCGTCTGACCATGGAATTGGTGACCGTGAACCATCAAATAAAAATATTTGGTCCTGATAACCAGAAGCAGGAATTCCTCCAGGAACATATGGTGCATAATCCTTCCACTCACTACCAGTCCCATCATAGCCCCCATAATAGTATGCAGTAGAAGGAAGATAGCACGTAGATGGATCAATAAAATCCGATGGAATGGGAGTCAATACCCCATCCCGTGAGTGAACCTGTCCATTGGTCCCATTGCCAGAATCAACAGATGGCTTTTTGGTTGGCTTTGGAATTTCCAGAGTTTTCGCCTGTGGTTCCAAAGTCAGTTTTTGTAGCAGGTCAGCAACCTGATCTGGTGGGGCAAGGGCGGCCATGGACTCTAAATTGATAGATCTCGCTTCTTGGAGATAGATATGGGGTTTTAGAGAGAGAAAGAAGGGGGTAAGAGAGTCAGGCAAAATTGCATTCTAATGGATTAGATATTAATGCAAACGAAAGGAGCATTTCGCTCTGATACCATGTTAAGAAAATAAAATGATAGATTCAATATAGAAACTATATTGAAGGAACTTGAATGAAAAAGATATGAAGAACACTTATTATTCATCAAAAGTTCAATTAACATTATGAATACATTGATCTATTTATAGGCTAAACTATCTAACCAACTAACTACATAACAAATTAAAGAAGAATATAGAAGAAGTATCTAATAACAAATAGGAGAAGGATCTAGAAGAGAGATCTAGTATTGGAATATTCCAACACCGTGTTGAGAAAATAAAAAGAATAGATTCAATATGAAGAAACATATTGAAGGAACATGATGAAGAATGAGTTTTATTATTCATCAAATGCTCAAATGTAAAGGTGAATACCATGGTCTATTTATAGACTAAATTCTAACAATCTATCTAAAAAACTAACAGCATAACAAATTAAAGAAGAAACTAGAAGAATCTGGAATAAGGAAGAAGAAGCTGGAAGCATGCGTTGAATGTGAGATCTGAGCTGGTGATTTGCTGTGCTGCTGATATGTAATTCCAACATGTTGAGAAAATAAAAAGAATAGATTCAATATGAAGAAACACATTAAAGGAACATGATGAAGAAGGGATTTTATTATTCATCAAATGCTCAGATGTAAAGGTGAATACAATGGTCTATTTATAGATTAAATTCTAACAAATTAACATCATAACAAACTAAAGAAGAATTTGGAATAAGGAAGAAGAAGCTGGAAGCATGTGCTAAACGTGAGATCTGAGCTCGTGTTCTGCTGTGTTGCTGATCTGCAATTCCAACATGTTAAGCATTAGGGGTTTCATCTTAAGATGTCAACTTTATTAAGAGGAGTAGTCCAAAATCTTTATTAATTGGTCCGTGTCAACATCATTTCGCAAGATGGTGGCTCATTTGAGCAGACCAATCTTGAAATTCACGTATTCATTTTAGAGTCTTAACGGGATTGAATCGCTCGTTGTAGCATAATGGGCTCTGATATCATGTTAAGAATTAGAGTTCCATCTTAAAAGGTCAACCTTATTAAGAGGAGTAGCCCAAGATCTTTATTAATTGGTTTATGTTAACATCATTTATCGATGTGTGATATATATCCCTTAACATGCCCCTACAAGATGGTGGCTCATTTGAGCATACCAATCTTGAAATCTACGTACTCATTTAGAGTCTTAATGGGATCGAATCGCTCGTTGAAACATAATGGGCTCTGAT